TGTGTGTGTGTGTGTGTGTGTGTGTGTGTGTGTGTGTGTGTGTGTGTCCTGCTCTCTCTTTTACCATCAGCGCTGACTTTTTTCAATTGAATTGTGACCTGGGTGTAACCACGTATACGGTTATCTGAGCACAGGACACACTGATGCATCACTGACGGAGCTCGGTTACATTTCCTGAACACAGACGTCGAACCTTCTCCATCAGGACACGTTCGAGTTCCTCATCAGTCTCATACATGAACACTGCCCCTCATTTAGTCCTTTAAACTGTTCTGACAGACATCGTTCATCAGGCGGCTTCTGTTAGAAACCAGCTGGGGCTGTTTTGAAATGTAATGTGATTACAATAAGCAAACATACAGCAACATCAGAGCTTTTATTTCTATTTTGTTCTGAAATCTGTTCACTTTTCTTCTCTTTCCACAGCAGGTTTGCTTGTTTTGGTTTACTTGTTAAGAGCTTTGGGTTCAGCTTTGTTAGTTTCAGTGTTGGGTTCAATGTTTTTAGTCGTGGAGTAAATTTCCACTAATCAACCGAACAACTACTACTGTTACAACTACTTTCCTCAGTTTATATACACTAACTTATTGGCAGTTACACGTCTACTTTTTAATGCACAGGTACAATATTTAAACTACTTTCATATCCTGCTCTGTTTGCACACTACAGCCTGGCTTTGACATTTATCTGTACTTTAATTTTAATAACTGCACAGAACTGTTTTGGTAACGATTGTCCATGATGGAAATATGTAACAATTTTTGTGTGTCTCCGTCCTGTGTCCTCTTCTGCTTGCATAGGTGTTTTTTGTTGCTTTAGAACCAAATTTCCCCTGCAGGACAATTAAAGGATTATTCTATTCTATTCTATTCTATTCTATTCTATTCTATACATAAGTTCAGAGCAGTTATCTGGATACAAACACTTTGTGAATGCAGTTAATTTGCAGCCATCCAAAGTCTAGAGTTGATTTTTATTTTTCACAGCTGGTTTCTGTTTTTAGACGCCTTTAGTTCACTAAAGTATCCTTAAAGATGATTTAACACTGGATTGATTTTCATCGCTTTTCTTTTGACCGAGCAGTAAACATCCAGTATAATCAGCCCCAAATTCATTTCAGTGATTTAAACAGAGGTCTGTACTTGAGCGCAGTAAGAGCGAGGCAGCGGACCTGGAGTCAGAAACTGGACGCATCTTTATCCTCTGGGTTTGCAGGACTGTAACATACTATAAAGTGACCACTAAGGCAAGGACGTCAAACTCATTTTATATGGTGGGCCCACTCTGAGCTTCAGGGGGCGGGACCAGTGAAACTCTGCGTTCTGTCAGTGTAAAGAAGTCTAGCTGCACCCTCAGAAACCCCAAAGTGAGAAAGTTCAACTTTAGCTCATCTCAGATACATGACGGTATAATCAACACGACTCTTTGGGCTTAACCTGTAAGAAATTAATTCTTGTCAATTAAAAAAGAAACATTTTCATATTAAACACTGAAAAAACGAAACTTTTCTGTCATGTAAACGTATGTTTAACCGAGTTACTGTGGTGTAGTATGAATGATCATGGGGTAGGGCTGTTCGATATAACGATATATGACGATATAAAAACGTCTATCGTTTGTTTCGTGGTGTCGCAAAATAAACTGTTTACAACAATATTTGTTCATGGTTCTGATGGTGACTGTAGTGGTTATATTCATTTCTTAAAGTTCTCTCTTTCTCTTATATGTAATATAACCACTACAGACGGACAAACGCCCGTTTTTATGCGTTGTCGTTAGCAACAACTACGATAAAACCATCCCGTGTCC